AAATATAAATAATCTGTTAAGAAAGGGAAGCCTGTCACATGAGGCTTCCTTCGGACAGTCACTTAACGGGTGACCACGTGATGTGCAGCACATGATCGAACGATGGGTGACGCTGAATCCTAAGTGTTAGTCCATCACACTGCTGACTAGGCCCTAGAAGCCAGAGACCAGAGGCAGTCAGCTCTAATCACCCGAGAGATTGATCAGATGCCCAATGCCGACGAATTCAAAAAAGGATTCAACCACTGTATAATGTTATCTCCTAGCATAAGCTGACTTCACTTGATATCTGATTGGAAGAAGTCCCTCGCACGTTTCCATAAATTGACCAAACAAAATCTGTGCTCCAAACAGTAATGAGCCTGACACCTTTAAGAAGGAAGAAGGCAGGTTAATATCAGTGCAGACGCCACTCATCGTGTACCTGGTGAAAATTCAACTAACAATTTTCAGACCTCTTCTTAGAATAGACAGGTTTATGCTGTTTTAATCACCTGAACGTTGATTTGCTGGTTCTACTTCCCAAAGATCAGAAACTGTACATCGTGAACTGGGCATTGCTTGCAGTGAACGATGATTGGTCCACTGGATGTCAGCACATTGTAGATGGACCACAAGGGGTTTCGGAAAGTAGAATTACATTCAAGCCGCTGATTTCGACGTAGTTTAGGGGAGCCATCATTCCGTCTAGATATCATGGTATATCATTGGGCACCGTAGTCTATTTACACCAAAATCTAGACCTCAGTTCTTAATGCATCCATGTTTCAGCGGAACATCCCGTTTCCCCAGATACATTGTCATTAAGCTTCTCTCAGGGAGACTCATAATGCTCATTCATATGGAAACATTAAATCAATTGATGAGCGACTACCTAGGCAGTGTACTGATGGTTATACTACCTACTCTCCTACTACTAATACTCTGTTCCTACTACTCTGATCCTACTCTGTTCCGGCTTGTGCACACACAGTGTGGAGCAGTCCGGGTGACTACGTTTGTACTAGCGTTTAGAATAGCGCGCTGGCACTCTAGCAGTGAGATGTTTTATATCCAAAAACTTTTTGAGCCTGTACAGACAGAAGCTCTGCAAATTACTTCATCAATTTTCCTCAAACGCCGTCAGGTTTTCCGAAACCCTCAAATTAAATTACGTTTATCCAAATTCACCTGAGAACTGACGCTAGCAGAATTGCCGCAGTCCCCTTTTGTTTAAACGGCATCCTTTATCTGACAGTAACTAAATCACTTTGTTATGAAATTATCAGTTAGTGTTTTCACATGGGCTATCCAAAGCACCTACGCTCAATCTGTTCCGTTGAATTTGGTCTGTCTGAGAATTCCGGTGCTCGGAATACGATCGAGCCGATGCATTCGTAGTATCTGTCAAGCGCGATAATTTGCTACCAGTGTACCATCCATGTTTTCGTGTCAAATGGGGTGATAACTCCGCACAATTCGACCTTGCTCTCTGAGCTCACATTGTAATTCCGCCAAAGGCGGACAACTGAAAGCAGTGCATTTATTTGGCAATTCGAGTCTGCAATTCACTACTACTATCATTTATTTTTGAAGAGCATGGTCACAAACATAAAAAGTGAGTGCAAGCGATGAATGCGAAAGAGTAACAGGAGAATATGGGAGAAAAGAGAGAAACGTCTCATTCGAAATCATACTAAGTTCCAGTCTGATGAGATGAATGTAAAGATGAATGTAAAGATTTTGATATGGAAACACGCGTCTAAAAACCAACAACCGAAGAGAGGACAAACAATGTTGAATGCTCTTCAAGGCGCAGTGTGCGCTAGCACAGTCAAGACTCGCACATCAGGCACAAAGTGACCGTCATACTGGGTCTGGTGTGAGATTAAATGGCAAAAATGTACCTTCAACGCTGAAATTCACTGCAATTCACTACCTGAGCCGTGATCAGGACGCTACTTCGAAGCCATTAATTTGAATACATGTTATGGTTTTTGCAACACTTGCGCAGGGCGGTATAGGACAGGTGTTCTAGAAGCATTTATTTTCAGACATCGGACAATTTATTTTCAGACAGCATTTTCCAAAGCAAATACTGTGATTATTGATTGCAGTTTTGCATAAGAATGTGCATATAAAGTGCAGTAATTCGCATAAAGCAAAACAGACCTTAAGCTGGAGCATATTAGTTCTGGCCATAAAGCTTTTTGGGTTCAAATGAAAACCATGCAGAAGGAACTGAAGCTACAGATCACTGGAATGACGCGACATATCAGCGTAACCCAAGTCAGCTAAAGGTTGAATAGAACTGAAGCACGGACGCCATTGTGCTTAATCCCACTTGAAGAATTTGTCCACGGCAAATTTGGTTCCCGGGGTTACCATTAAGGTGTTCCCACAAGGTGGACGGAGATTTTACTAGCAATGTTGTGGAATGTAGGTAGCTCGGGTGCGTTTGGTTGTTGGTCTGTTCGCCGAGCTTGGCAGTTGGATTGCAAACGTTTCATCATCAGTCGAGGTGACATCGTCAGTGCAGGGTTGAGTGGGTTAATTCCTCGTGTAGTTTGATTGTTCTTCTGTGAATCTCATGTGGTTTCAATCTCCTGTGTCTGGTTGGTTCGTTGTGTGCATTAAGTTCGGCAGTTCTGTATGTGGTTGTCATGCTGTGATTCGGTCGTTTTCTTCTTGCTTTGTGGGGTGGGTTTTGCTCATTTGATTGGTCTTCTGTTTTTCGTGATTGTCTTCCTTTGACCCAATTAGTCCGTTGGTTGCCGTTAGGTTTCCTAGCTCCGAGTCACGTGACAGTGTGGTTCTTTCGCTCGTAACCGCTGATAGACTGAGTCAATGTCGATGTGTTTATTGATCGATTTTTGTGTGGAGTACCACGCCTCGACAAATTCGCGCTCCCGTTTTGTTCTTGCGTGAGCGAGTATTTGAACATTGTCCCAATTGAACGTGTGTCCTTCTCTGTCTTCGTGGATTGAGACGAGTGACATTGGGTCATGTCTTCTACTGGCAAGTGTTCGTTCGTGTATTCTCGTAGCAAGTTTTTTTTACTGTTGACAGTTTTCTCGGAACAAATGAGCTCTTGTCGAGTTAAAGCCTTTCTTGGGGTCCACGAACAGGGCGTGTGACTGCTTGTTTCTCTCCGGTACTTTTCCTTTAGCGCTGCAATCATAAGGTCAGTTAGGCTGCGTCCACTTTGAACCTGTGTTATCCTTCAAGGATACTTTCTTCTAGGATGTAAAATTTAGCTGACCCCTCATTCGCAGTGTAATACCATCGTAGCGTCCATGAACGCTTGTGAGCCGTTTCCAGTCTTCTAAGTTGTGCCAGCGAGTTGGGACTTTAGAATTTGGGAATTTCTGAAAGTATTCGACATTCCCCGACAACCTCTCTGCTTTGTAGTTCAGCCATTGCATTCCAACGTTCACATTTCGTATGCGGGTTGGAAATGACCATGTCACCAAGGACTTGATGTAGCTGTGTGTGTTGGTCCAGATCAGTGTCGATAAATGTACCTCCCAGGTAACTCGGAGGTCTTCATACCTGTTGGAACTTCCGAAGGTCTGAGTGTTTTGGATGTACTGAGTGGTTGAAAGTTTCTGCTTGCATTGGAAAGCTTCTGTCGTCCGAGTGTACCTGACTACTGTAAGAAACTTTCCCACAACCTCTGTGTTAGACAGTGATATCATCCAAAATATTTTACCGTCCAACTTATGGATACCTCCGGTCACAATGAGGGCTCCCCCCTCTTTGAGCCACGTAACTGGGATGACGAGTTCCGTAGTTGTTCGGATCAGTAATGAACGTCGTTCTCTTTGTTCTTGGGCGCACTTTTTCCGATTGCCCGCCTTTATATCTGTGTTTGCTTGTCAGTTCAGGCTTTCAGATTATTTATGAGGAATTGGTGATCACTTGACTGAATGAATATGATGGCAGTAGACAACTGCCCGTGGAACTCTCCGTGCGCAGGTTTTGGATGATTCACCGTACGGGCCTTCGCACTGGAAAAATTGACTATAATTGGTTATAATTAGGTCACAATTTGCTGTATTTATATAGCTTACACCGCTAGGTGTAAAAACGCGTCGAATAACGGCACTGGTTTAGCCACCTCATCTCGCCTTGACCTCAACATGAATGTCCTCGAGACACGTGCTTTATTTTATCAGCCTGGCAGGCATTCACAACAATAAGCATTATTCATTCGAACAGCCATTCGCACAGCCATGGAACGAAGGCAATGGAAGCTGGCGCACATTGGTTAATGCCACTTGAGGGTTTTCACTGAACAGGATTTGCATCCACTTGAGCGCCTTGACCCAATGTAAGCCAAAGAGAATACGGCTGGCTAGAGAGTGAACAGAAGGGAGTTGTTATACTGCCATCAGAATGTCAGTAGGCCCATAATTGTAGCTCAAAGTGTACCAAGCAGTTGAGTCTTCGTTGCTTGTAGATGGCATATAGTGACCCAAACTACTCAGACGGTGCGTTGGGCACACATCTGGCTAGCTAGTTTTATATATCTTTCAGCTTGACCTGTACAGGGCTAGTCACGAGTACTCATTATCGTTGGTTCCTCCATATACACACATACACTTATACTGGTACTCAAGGCGGAAAGCATCTGCGTGACTTGGCGTTTGAGTATTGGGGAGATCTAGAAAGCTGCGGCCAATTGAAGACTTGTGAATGCATTCTGACGGCTATCATTATAATAACTAAAGGAAGAAGAAATGGCGAAGGTAGCCAGATTGCCGAATTACTGTACCCACAGAGACCATAATTTCAGAGTTGTTTTCTAGCCATTCAGTTTTCTTTTTCAATTTATCTATATGTTGTGGACCATTCAGGTGGAGACAAAGCAAAAAAGGACGAAGCAAAAGGACGAGTCTCGCAGATCCGTTCGTTAACTAACATCATAGACATTCAGAGTTCTCGTTTTTATGTTGTTCAGTTAGCAGTCAGCAGTTGATGAGCAATGTTTGCTAATTCGCTTATATCCTATATTTTAGGCCATGGAGTATCCGAGGAGGATAAAGCCTTATCCCGACGGCATCGAAACGCGGTTGAGTTTGCTTTCGACTACAGCAAGCTGTGGTGCAAATCGTGTAAGGATATTGTCCTGGGTTTAGAAAAAAGGGCATACGCAGGTAAGCATTACCAGATGTTTGTTTCAGGTTTTTCTTAAATTGCATGGCGCACAATAATTCCATCACCATTGTTACGCCACTAACGTTCCATGTCTTTTGCAAACACTGTCACCAGATATACTGACTGGGAGAAGTATACTGGTGAAAATAAGAAGACCTTCGTTGTTTATTAGTAAATACCAAGTGAACAGTTACAGACTAGTAGACGGGGAAGTAAAACTCTCATGTACATCTTATCTACAGAAACTGACTATTCATCTTCTCCTTGAACGCGTCTTCCTGAACTTTTCTGGATATTAATCGGCTGTTGCTCAAATCCAGGCAAGTGCGACTCCACAAATCCCGTAATAGATTTCATTTTTCAAGAGACGCGAAGCAGACTTACAAGAAAACATGCTACTCGCATGACCACATTAGTAGTATCCACCGTTACACTGGTAGGATGAATCGTTGCGATTGAGACCAGGCGATGGGAGGCAATACCGAGTAATAAAGTGTCCACTTTATGCTACAGCAACTGAAAACTTAGACACTTTATCCTTGGAGGACTTGCACCAAATCACTGGGCAGAATTATCAGGAACGTACTACACTGCACTGCTGTCATCAATGTCGGTTACTAGTCACGAAAACAAAATCAAATGCTAGTCGTTTTGGAGAATTGTCCTTCCTCGGAGTAAACAACTGGGAATCGTACAGCCTCCATAGATTTGGTTACCCTCTGACTTTAGGTTTCTAACGCTATGAAACTTCATCCGTGAAAATATTGTTGAGTAGCTGGATAGACAATTTGAGCTACGTAGCTCCGACAAGGACCCACCTAAAGCAGTGGAACTGGCGTGACTCACAGGGTCATAACTATATCCCTTCAGGGACCAACAGCAGGTCAACCAGGGAACCAGTGAAGGTAACTTGGTCTGTTTTTTCCTTCGCTTGCCTTCATGATTTTTTTTCCTCTAGACGGGTTAGCAAGCATTTGGACATGGGGGCTGTTTCGATATTGAGTCTTGAGTTAAAAGGTTCATTTCATTATTGCTTGAAGACGATATTGTTTGTAAATTCCGGTTGGCAATTTTTCCGGGCTAAATAGGTGTATGACTCACTGAATCCTGATCGTTATGGTAATGACGGTCAATAGAAACAGTGAACATCCCGTGAGGTGGTTCCTCTTCGGTGAAAACGGTGAATTTCATGGCTTGCTAAGGAGAATGAATGATTACAGGACCGAAACATTGTGACGTTTCAGGGTGTTTATCGTATTGGTTTGCATTTCTTCGTGTTCCTTCTTAAGTGGAGCTCACTGAAAACATTACTTTGCAATCAGTAAAATGCCCACCGACACCAGGATTTATGTTTCCACTTTTTGGAAAAATTTATATCATCAAACTACTGTTATGGGATTCAATGAATTTCGTCTATGACAAAGGTAAAATCTACTGTATACTGTGTCTGGAAGTAGAGTTATTAACTTAAGCCGCAGCGCAGTCACGTCTGTCTCTAACAGGCTTTCATAAAATGAGTAACGAAGTCATGGCGCTGTGCACCTTTGAGTGGCATTGGCGGGCAAAATGACTCGCTTGGCTTCAGTACTCATTTGATCAGTACTGGTCAGCGTTTAGTTTGGAAACATATGGCCACCCTTAATGGACTAGAAACTGGTGCGTGGATGACTTTTCGAAACACCGTGGAAACGGTCCGAATAATCATTGGAGCGCTGGTATTTCGTTACACCGGAGAGCAGGACATTGTTTCGTTTTTAATTTCAATTCTGGCTACATGTTTTCAACAACACATTAGAGGTGCAGTTGTCGCAATACTAATGTGAGAAAATTGTAATCCAGTGCGCATTTTATTCAGTGACTATTACAAAAAAGAGTTCAGCTTTCGTTTTGCGGTGTCGGGAGTCCAAACGTTACTGGAAACAAGGTTACGGCATCCAGACCACTGCAAGTGGCGTCTGATATCTGTGAAGTAGAGCACATTCTAACACTGACCAGTAAAAAATCATATGATCTCACTATGTTCTGGAAATGGCATCTATTTTTTTCTGTTCGTTAAGTCTACTGTAGCCGCGTGGTGACACGTAAAGTGAGCCTAACTGAGCTAGATAATCAAAGTTTTCTATGGGATACGGACACCCAATTTCTCACGAAATCCTCTTCAGCAGACAGCAGGGTTGAACTGAGCTACAATCACACAATTTGGTCCATCAATACTTCAGATCCTCCCTTAAATCCATTAGGTCGACTTGACTAACGTTTGTGTAACCCCAAACTACAATATGCATCCCTCCATTTGGCGCAAAACAAGAGAAAGGGAACCGTTGCTCCTCACGATAAAATCGGCTGTGATGCTGGGTACTAAACAGTGAAGTTGTACCCGGATAGGGCTAAACTTAATTCTAGCACATTCTGCCTCGCTGTCTATGAATAGGAAAAAAATGTACTAGCAAGGAATGCTCCCTCCATGATTTGTGACAAAAAGTGGTTACCGCGAGAGAAACCGCGAGGCCAAATGGGTGAAATTTTGAAGTCACTTCTTGGGTTCCGTTATGCTGCCAAGCAGTTTCATGATAGGTGTTATGGAATTCAAATTAAACTAACTTTTCAGCATATGGGGGCCTAATTTCGGAAGGAGGTAACGCAAAATCAACGTACCGTTGCCATCCCAATTTTTTGACGAGGGACTGTATACGGAAGTCACGTAGGTTTGTGACGGCGGCATAGAAGTTGAAGTTTGAAGACTGAAATTCCCGTTATCGATTCTTCATTGCTTTGAAGAATAGGTTGACATCTGTCTTTTGTGTTTTGTTGTTAAACCCGAAGCAAAACCTTCTCCTTACTTTGGCGTTTTTTGGAAGATTTATTACCTTTTTACTACTGTCGTAAATAATGGTATATTTGTGCTGAATATACCATGGTGGTCTCTTGTGAATATCCCCTAATTCGATCGGCTACCGCCAAACACATAAGCAATGAAAAAATGCTGCCCTTGGCTTCAGTACTCCGAGTTAACAATGACATAAGAGAAGTTGAAGGGGATTTTACAAATTTAGGCGAACAGCAGCCACAAAATAAGACTTCTATTGGCTTTACTAAAAATTGTAATGTGAACTAGCCATTCTATGTGGATTTAAAGCATCAGGGTAACGAATATGAGGTAATTTGAGGTAATTGGCCGGTTTGAAGATGATGATCAACGTTTAAATGACGCAGATTCGACCAACAATGGGGCTCGTCAAACTAACTAGTCCTCAAGTTCTGTTGAACCTGCGGTGACTGAATCCGCTCTAAAACGGACAGTCCGTCAGATCACCAGAAGTCTGCCAGGCGGTCAAGCAGTCAGCCAATGAGTCGGTCAATCCCTACGTAGGTTGGTCTACCGATTCATTAGTTGGTAAATCCGTCAGCAATTCGGTATTTTGGCCACAAGCGTTGTATAGAAATGACGATGATGTAGGATTGCTAATGACAGAGTCTTTGATTAGCTCTCCCAAACAACTTGTTCCTCAGGATGGTGCTCTCAGCAGTCACACAATATGAACTGTCACAAAAGTGCACCGATTATAATGTGCTGTTTTCTTCAATCGCAAGAAATCTTGGAGCGATTATAAAATGGCAAACAAATTCTTTGCAGTTTTTACATAGCATAGGGGTAATACCTGGGAAATACTACTGAAGAAAGAGTTCTGTTTGGCAGTAACACTGGGCTCAGAAAGCTACAGGAGGAGAACTGTGTAAACAGTCAACCCATTCATAATTCGGGCTCGAATACTGTAAGAATAGAGTGAGTAAATAGGCAAAGGCTGATTGAAAGCGCGGTAGCGGGGATAAAAGCGCTTTCTTTAACCCGAAGTACGCTGGTAAGCTTATAACATAAGGATGCCCCAGATATCTCGTAACTTCACCGCATTTTGGTCTATAAACCCTAAGGTCTAATCATGTAATTAGTCTAACGTTCCCCATTGAAAAGTCACAGAATATATATAGTAAAATAATAGGACACATTTGTAGAATTCAGAGCCTACAGGTAAAACTTTATTTAAGCAACACGATTACCCGTCCATTGTATTCGTGGTGACCAATTGCTCGAAGGACTCCACAAGTGTGTCTTTCTGTCCACAATTTCTGTTCACAATTTCTGTAGCCAGTACGATGGACGGAATTATCTCATAGAGAGCTGGTTTTTTTTATCACCCGCACTGTCATCCCTGTAAGCTACAAGGCTGTTCTTATGAAGCATCTTTGGTAGTTGCGCCAATCGAAAATGACCCGATCCAAAGTGGCTTCACTAGATGCATACCTGTTTACAATATCAGAAATTTTGAAAAGGTTGGTCGAAAAGCCAATAAACGAGGAATGCTACACAGCAGCTTAGAACTGCGAGTCTCGCGAAACCGCAGAGAAATTTGATCTCGCGACTTTCAAGTTTCCACGGGAAAGCCGTGCCGTTTGGTTACGAGTGGCTGGTCAGCCGTGTGATCAACTCGCACGTAGACAGAATATGGTACTTTGTTTCCTACGGTCACGCGTTGTCTGCTTTTTGTGTCGGCTTTCCGGATGAAAGGTTCACAAAGCTTGTGTTAGAATAGTCGGATAGCTCTTCTCGTATTTTCAGCAAATGTTCGCTTCGCTAACTGGATGAAACTTCGATTAAATTTTCCAAATTTTTTCGTATTGTTGACAAACTGAAAGCAGCTCAAAAGGGAGGATAATTCGTAAGTCACATGGGTTGACCGTTTGAGATGTCATAACTAGAAGAGTAAGTAAAGTCCTGTCTATATTACTTCAATCTTGTGATTGAAGGATAGAGTCTCTGTGTCCTGTCTAGGTGCGCGTCACCTAGTGGCTGTTGACCAGCGACTCGTGGACAGTAAATTCCTCGACTTATAGCCATGTATCTCCACAGAATTGTGAGATATACAGTGTTGGTGGTTATCAAACAGTGCTTTTTGTCATAAATTTCCTCATTTACGGGATCAAACATCAAGTGAATTCACATTTTCCCGACGGTAGAAAAGAAGCATAAATGCATGTTGGAAAATATTTTTCAATAGCTACTTGTTCCCAACCACATAATTTTCATTTTCTCAGCCTGCATTCTACAAACTAGATTCACTAATGTCATCAAGTTAGATACTAGATGGGAAGATTTGAAATTCTATTTGATGGAATAGATCTCACCGATAATAACTCGTCCTCTGTTCCCTGTGGTTTTAGCATATTCTTCAAATAAAAAAACCCTCTGACACTTGTTCCGGTGACAGCGAAATCGATGAGCCTTTTGTCAATAATTGTGCATCTTACGTCTATAATGCACTTTAGGGTTCGTATTTTCGTGTGGAACAAGTACCCCTATCTATGTTTTATTGCAGAAAATGAAGCGGTTAGATCAATTGCAAAACAGTTTTTGGCTCTCGAAGCAAGTGTTTCCGCAGTGGTAAGTTATCAAGTCACTGTGTTTACAAAATGTTTTTGAACGAATGAATGATAATTTCAACAATAACTCCATGTTTCCGTCTTTCAATCTAGAACGGGGCGCCCATGAAACAAGAAACACTCCGCCTAGCACACATGGTAAGGTACCGATTAAAGCTGTAACAACTGTTAATTTTTCCGTCACTCTACCAAGTTACAGTCCACCACTTTTTCGGATTCAACAACACTGATGATGGTCCGTAAAGCATTTCCGCTGTTCTAGCTCAAATAAAGCGGCTTATCAATCCGCGTGATTGAATTCCAGATGGATTGCATCCAATGACTGCCGTCATCTCATGAATGGCATAAATTTCACAGCCAATTTCGCTGTTTGTTTTAACCGATAGTCTGTCGATCTGGAAGTCCATTCAACTCATTTGTGGGATTATTCTATCCATTTCGTTATTCGGCGTCACACGTGTGCATTAATTTCAAATCCTCAGATTTGCATGCGAATTCCGTTTTCGGTGTAAGTTTCAAGTTGAAAGCCCCTCATCCGACATGGCATCGAGGCGCACACACACTATATATTGTTTCACAAGGACAAACTGAAAATCTTTCCAAATTTGAATTCTCCACACCTTAGGAAACGGTGGATTCACAAAGTGCTTTGGTCAAATCCAGCAGCTATGTCAGCTAACTAGTTCAATTACCACTAAGCGCATAAGATTTCGTAAGGGTAGTTGAATAAAATAGAATAAATACAATGAAATCTCGCTTTTTTGTCCTCCGCATGAACTAATTTGCGAATAATTTAAAGTCAAACAATGAGTATTCCCACGAGATTCCAAATCCCTTTCTGTTAGCTTCTCTTCGGAGGAACAGATTATGATTCCCGGCTAACCTAGATCATAAAATTGTTAGCAACTAACTAGATGCAACACTTTGGAGACTGTTCAGGTTTGAACTGCTCGTTTGATTGTAGTCAAAATAGCAGTCGGAATAACACGTACGCTTAAGCAACACACCACATCGCTTCATTCTGACCTATACGGAGGTACGATCGAATAGACGGATAAGCTGAAACGTGGATGAATAACCTAATATAAGATTTATCTGCGTCCAGACACGCGAGAATCGTTAGGACGTAGTCACATGCTTCACCATCCTCACCTGTTCAGTTCTCCTAGTGTGGTATCAAATGTGTCGTTGTTTGCTTGAAGTCCACTTTGGTCACCAAGCTGCTTCCCGTCACACTGTCAGATTAGCTTGTACGTGACAGGAGCTACACACTACTAAATGTGTTTGATACTTGTGACGTTTTCCCAGAATCGAGCTGTTATTTTCTATCACCTCTGCTGCAGATTTGGGTGACCTTTCCAACAAGATAAGTGCAGTGATCAAACTGTCTTGCGAGTTGTGGTTTATCAGCAAACTGGCCGAGTGTGCTGCCATAGCCTTTCGGTATCAGATTGTCCTTGCCAAAGTGGCCATTGATTGCGGTACGAATGTCAACCTACAAGGGTGAAATGGACATCAAGCGAATGGCGTAAGATATCAAGGAACAAACGAGATAGTGACGAAATTGAAAAGCCACAATAGGGCGTGTGGACCGATCTGGTATGCCCGTAAGGATAGAAAGTGGGCCAGTAGGACAAGTAGCTTGTGAGCAAGAAATAAATAAACATTATTAAAGAAAAATAATATGACTTATGGTATACAGTTCATTACATGTATATGTTTCAAAGTATATGCAATATATATATATATTACGCAGTATGACGCCATTTTTCTACATAATAATAAGCTATCATGTAGTAATATAATATAATAGTATTATATATAACATATATAATATAATATAATATAATAATATAGTATAATAATATGATACGATGTAGTGTGTTATGTTACGCTATACTGTAACGCAGTACAATATAATCCACAACGGAACATAATAATTATTAAGTAAATGAATAATGGGAACAGTTGGTGAAGAGCAACAGCCAGCCTAGCTGAACTGAGAACCTGCTTTATAGACGCTTTGTAGACGCGGAACGGATCTATACCATAAATTGTCGGTGGACCGAAACGCCTGCAACGTAGATGAGAAGGCACCTAGCGAACTACGTCCCACAATAATACGGCTATCTTATTTCACGTAACCCAATCTGATCAATCAAACCTTAATGGCTTCAGTGTCAAGATTTGTTACGCGTTTAGCAGTTTCTCTGGTCACCTGATCAATATCGTCTCCAGTGATTTGATTCTCTCTGATAGATTGCATTGCACATTACAAGACTTTGAACCACGGATGAAGGTCAATCTAACCACATTCAGGCAGTGTTTGCTAAGCTTAAAATCTTATCCCTATCGCTCCAACTCTGGGAAACTCGCTTTTCGGTCACAGTCACAAGTCTTCTCCAGTCTTGCGTACGGCAGTGAAGCATCAGTGTTGAACACTGATGTCATGCTGTCGATGATGATGCTGATGATGACGATGAGCCTTACAAATCTGTCGGCATAACTGTCGCCGAATTTGCAACAGCATTTCAAGCGATGGTAGTCACATTGTCCATCTATATTATCTGATCCTCCGGGGCGTAGCAAAATGCGTTCATTAGAAAGCCGTAAATTTGACGCATTTCTATACAGGACTGCCGCAGTATCGCCGGCATATTGTATACGAATAAAAAAACGGTTTTTTATGAAGAGCATTTTTAACAACCTTCATTACTAACCAGAAAAAGAAGCACTTTTGACATATATTATAGAAATTCGCCCAAAGGCGGAATGTAGCGTATAATAAGATAATAAACATAAATAAGCACATGAAGGATCCGGCTTTTACTCCATTTTTTCTGAATAGTTTCAATTCGACCATATGAGTATCTAACCAGAATAGTCCAAGATTTCTCATGACTGCAGAAGTACACCACTTATAATCGGCGCCTTGAAGGCAAGCCTATTTTTCTATCATATGTTGGGTTAAAAGCTTAATGAGCTTAAACTAGTGGGGTGTCACGAAATTGCTGGGCCTGTGAGCAATCAGCAAATATACCTCAAGTTACGATTTGGAGCATGTTGTTGAACAAAGTCGCTTAGGAAAAGAACATTACCGTTTTTGAAGGAGTAATTTTAGTCGCGGTAAAGATTAAGGAAAAAAGTGAATAAGGCTTTGTAAGCAGCATTTTTGAAGATATGTTTTGCTATTAGATGCATAGGCAAGCAATGGAAGGTTGAATGGTTCTTATTCAAATGAAAACTTATGGAAATGTGATATTCTTGGATGATTGATAATTCATATGACTGGATGATGTGACGTAAGAAAATCAAACTCAGTTCCCCATATGAGACCTTGAAGCTGAGGGACAAGTTAGCCATGAAAAACTTGACTCTCTAACGGTGACTCATTGTCGAAGGACTGTAGAAAGCCTCAATACGGTCGCGAAAGTAATAAAGTCGTCTCTTCAATCTCATTGAAATGCTACGAGGAAACTGGCTAGTGTACAGCTTTTGTTTGGAAAGTTCTTTTGGGTCGAATCTTTTGGCGGAGATGTTTCTCACTTGAAGAGAAAAGGCGAAAGTTGGTGCCATTACAAGGCTGGCAGTTTGCTGCTAGACTGTGTACTAGAGTTGAGCAAACCCCCTTCTTAAGCCAACTGAAGGTTGCATTTATTAATGCGAAAACTGAAGATGATGTCTGGAACCAGAACCTTGCAGCACTCTGGGAGGTTTTACATCACTCAGTCCACTGCATGAATTCTTCCAAACTGCAATCAAGCTTATGTTTCTATTGCTCTGGTGTTTTCTGCTCGTGCCCGAGTGATTGCATGTTCAACTACTAGTCGAGATGTTGAAGGTCAGAAACTCACTAATGTTTTTCGATATACCTGGTCAACGTGGTTACCACTAATAATGAAACAGCTGAACAGTGCTTCTCTGTTCTTCATCATCAAGTGGACTATTTACAAGCAGGAAAATTTTAACTCCGTCCACACAGGTATGGAGAAAGTTTGATGAATATGAAGTATAAACGTAGTTTATGTACAGTCATAAATATGATATATACGGTATAAGTTAGTTGGGCCATAAATTTCATCGTCGCTGTTTTTTGGAACCAGTAATTATTGGAATTATCGGCCAAAACATGCGTAAAGATCTCACGTAAAGGTTATCTGGTTGCTGTGCGTTGCTGAATCTATACAACAGTGGTCTATAAAATACGGATCGGAATTCACAACTCTCATGGATGCGAATTCGGATGCCAGTGGATGGTCACATTTTTGGTCTTATTAATTGGAACTCAGAGTTGGGCACAGCATTAATCAGGCAAACCCGGGGTGGACAGATAGTGGATAAAAAAAAACTGGAAAGACTGGCAGAACACTCAACTGAACTCCTCAGCCACCTCTCTCTATGATGACTGCTCATTCTGGCCGTCAGTGTGTCTCGCGGATTGTTAGCCTTCGATTCAAGAAGTGTCATCATTACCAGTTATTTTATTCAAAATCCACGCAACCTTTGGTAAACTTTTTAGGGCTGATTATACAATCATCATCCTACCCCGTCACGAACCGTTCCTCCGGATAGTATACCGGCAGAAAATTCCCAAAAAGCGCAATACGCTGCTTTGAAACTTTGTACCCAAGAAAGTGTATTAAACCTGGTGTAGAAATCAATCAAAACTGTTTTCTAATTTACTTCTGGGTTGCCTGAGAAGGAGTGCCGACGAAATAAGCACAGGATTGTGTGGTTACTCAACTCAGGAAGTCGCCGGAATGTTCGGCAAGATATGGGCTTTTTAAGGAATGTGGGAGCAGCTGTTTAGATATTTGTGTTACCGTATTATCATAAATCCTATTGTGGAACCGCTCAAGGGGGTTTAGTTGTAAATTCACTTTTCTCCCATTGCCCCATTTTTAGATGGTAGAACACAGCAAGGATGTAGAACTGCACAACACAAAACGATGTCGGGAGCTTTTAGAAGTGAGTTAGTCTGGACGATTATTTTAGCGTCATTGTATGTTCTCATTACGTGTTATGTATCGTTACGCCAAAACTCGGTCATATGGCCTTGCATTGTGAGGATTACGAGCTAAACCGGTGCTCAAACCAGTGCTCCTTCGTCATCTTTTGAGTACTGTATTGAATAACTTCCATCGTTGTGGGTAAAATATTAAATTGGTGTATCACCAACTCTCTGGATGACCAAACTTTTGTGACCAGACACTTTTTATTAGTTAAGTCTGTTTGGTACAGGTTACTGAAACCGTAATTGGGCCTCAGTTGAGGAAACTTGGTTTAGAAAACTAGGATAACTCTCTGATTGGCAGATGAGCATGCTACCATTAGCCCCTCAGACCGCCTTATTCCAACACCTGCCGAATGTTATATTCAGACAGCTCAAAGCACGACAGCCGAAAGCGAATCTACCTGCCTACATAAATGAAAGTTTTCGGTGAACGTAATTTTTTCCGGCCTTATAGGCAGCAGTGCACTGAAATACACTTAGATAAATGAGTAGGTTTTACAGAGAGATTATCAAACCCCGTGATTCCGAAAACTGTCGACAAAATTCTCATTGCTGTTAGCCGTCATCTGACGTGTATACCACAGCACCAGCCGATTCGCCTGAGATCTGCAGTGTGATACTATTTGATTGCATGGGATATATTATGCTTTGGACACTAGGTCAGTTCAGCATATTGTTAAACATTCATTCTCCACACGAATTTCGATCCGCTATCCCCATCGCGTATCGTTAGATGTTAACATCTTTTTTAATATGATAACAACTACTGCACAGAGTGAATGTCAGTAGACTTAACTTTATTATCGTAGCACTTAACCATGAACAGTATGAATAGACGGGAATAAACACACTCAGCTCCTCATCGCGACTGTTTTGGGTCAGTCATTTTCAGAGATCTTGGCTTAAAATGTGATATAGGTGACATGTGATATAGGTTATGATGAAATGTTCAACGATTTATTTCCCTACGCAGTTCGATTTCACTTTTCAGAATTGCTTACATAAACGGGTACCTAGTCCAGCAGGCCCAGTGTTCTCCGTTTTTTTAAACCAATCTTAAGCTCACCATTTCAACTCACTCGTTCTTCCGCTACCTTGTTTTTTCTGCCGATTTTAGTGAGATTAACTGAAATATTTTTCAAAAGGCGAAAAAATTTTCAACCAATAAATGCCTCACATGCGAGCGACAATTTTTTCGGCAGCCTTGATTACTAGAGCTGTTTTGGTAGGCTGACAAGATGAGAAACAGGTCAGAGCCGTCACATCATTTATAGGCTCCGAAGGCTTGTTTGTTTTCGAGGTATTCGGTGCTAAAGTGCAAATTTCAGGCCCATCAATAGCGTACAACAAAGGAGCGTGAAACATATTGGTCTTGTGTTTGTCCAGTCTCGGATTAGTTCTCCATCCGTCCGTTTATTACCCTCCCAACTTTTGTATTAAATAGCGAAATATTCCAGATACCAAATGAAAATGGCTATTGTTGACTGTGCTTGGATTTTCATCCCTGAATACAAAGATGAACAGCCAACTATGCTTCTTTCATCACGTTGTGAATGAACAGGTGTTTTACTGGCAAATCGAACCCTAACCATTGAAAAGTTTTCCTGATGATACAGTGTCGTTAGGTATTCGTTTGATGACTGGGGTGATGGGATTTCTGGAGCAATCTAGCGGATGATTAACCGAGCTCATTAATACCGTTTGATGGAATGTTGACATAATAAGGAACGAAGTTTTCTATGAAAGTCTCCATTTTAGTCGGATAGAGTTGCAAGTTCTGAGGGGGTGTGCATAAAATCTTCAGCAGCGAAAACTGTTTGTCCTACATGCAACGTATTCGATAATGTAGGCGTTTGAGAGAAAAAAACACTCACTTGCACAAAACTTTGCTTTTGACGACAGGCTCACTTGGAACCCAGCCTAATCTCTTGTGTATAATGTTCATAAGCAACTGAACGTGCTTCACCACGCCGCCTCATGTTTCAGTAGGTAGGAGTTGTTTGCCCTAAAAAGCGACCTGGCACGCGTTTTGTTCTGGGATCATCGAGTGGATATGGCAGATTGGCCACATGCCCCTTGACTAAAATTGTCGCCGTTCGCCACACTGTCACGTGACCATTAACTACCACTGGAAGCCTGGTGAATGTGAATTGTGGATTGTTTTCTTTGTTTGGCCTATGCCTTGAAACTTTTCAGGAAATCGAACTACTTGAGAAAATCCAAGTGTTGTTCTAAACGGTAAAACAAACGAAAGTGCAACCGATCTTGCTACATCCACCCGATGTGTGCTAACGAGGAAGAAATGGTAGAATGTTGCCTTCCATGACTAACCATCTTTCATTGCAAGACTCGTCTGCCACATTGTTGTCAGAAAGTAGACAAAAACCGTGAAGAATTAGGAAACAACGCTTGACTATTGTGGAACGGACGAATTTCCGGACTTATTTCAAAGCTTTAGCTAAGCCGGGAAATTTTTCTGATAAACTGGAGGCTAGCGAACATGTGGTATCGAAACAAGTAGTTTAACAAAAGCATGGAATTGAAGCTCAGCCCACAGTAATAATCGTGTTCTACAGGTATGTTAGTTTCTACGTTGATTCAACATTATTTTACAATTTTCCCATTTGCTGTTTTTGTTTACATAAGCAGGCAATCTTTACTTACAGTTGTTTTACGAACTTCAAATGACCCATAACGGCTGTACGGTAAATGTTATTTTCTAAGTGATGTATCAGTAGAACTGTTCCAAATTATGTATCCTGGTAACTGTATAGTTATTGCTTTGTAGTTGTATAATGGGTTTGGGGAACTCAGTTCAGTCCAAGCAATTTCACAGAATATTTCGAGGAACTCCGGATGCCTATTCCCTTTCAAAGTATACTTATTTGGGGTACTCGAGCACGGCCTTTCAATATATAAGCTTTTGCTTTGAACGAATCGCTACTTTTTGAAGAGCGTTTTTGATTTAGAGTTAGCCGTGAGATATATGCGAGGATATTTGCAAATAACAGAAGCACATGCATTTACGGGGGAAGTCACTGGACGATCACGGTTTACGTGGGCTACAAGTTGTTTCAAGGTTTCAAAGCGTCTATCCTCTGGATACACTCTGATGTATTCTGTTGCTTGGTTGAGGGATAAAGAGAAAAAACTGTGTGTGGTTGCATTCAAAGGTGCCTGGTATAAGTTGGTGTTCTGATTGATCTCCTCATTTAAGGATACACCCAAAGTTCATAATTGATTAGAATCCATTAGGCGATGCAGTTCTAAGGATACTATCATTTTTACCACTGATAAAAGACAGAGTGGAACGATTTTCGGACAGCAAATGTTGTGTATTATTAGAAAAATTATGAGAAATTCAAGGGAATGAGTCTTGGTGGAGAAATTCTGGGTAACCACCCGTTGAACGGAGTTTGGATGTTATTCTCGAATCATTTACCTGTTGTTTATTCATTCCAGCGACCTACAAAAATTCGAGCTCAGGAACACGTACACATATACATTTAATGTATATGCACTACCGAAAACCGGTAGGACTTAAATTAGAACTATGGGTTAAGTGCCTTTACGGTAGAAGTTCGGTGTTGAGGGGATAGAAAGTCTAAGATGCAGCTGTATAATGTCCATAAAGCCCATAAACTCTGTCAGTACTAGCATCAGAAACTTTTGTATCATTACCTGGAACAATACAAACTGAAGTGTACACAGATTCGTCTGACTAACAGCACTGTGGCCACGAGAATTATATGGAAAAATGTTGAAAATAAAACTACAGTAACTCTAGAGTTTGAGAAAATCGGGGTGTATGTAATCTTTGTACGTACACAGGGTCAACACTCTCGATCCTGGACGAAATGTTTTGTCGCCTGGATTGTCATCTGTGATAATAAAATCAAAATCATTAAAGGTAATACTCATACAGAAGAGATGTGTTTTATCCGCAAAATTACGAATATCCCTTAGACTCTGGAGGTGCGCAAAACGCCAAAAACGCTTGTCGTTTCCGGAGAGCGATGAGATAATTAGATACGGAGGTAGGAGATTTCAACAATATGAGAAAATCGTTCATACCTTGAAGCTTTTAGCAGGTTGCGTGGCATAATGCTGATGCTGGTTAATAGAGGCACACTCCATTGATGGCGGTGGTCCAGTCGTTCTGGACAAATAATTGATATTTTGCCTATTGAACATGCTAGCGGGCTGCTGAACTGTTTGACTGATAATCGACGCAACCCCCTAGGAGACTGGGATGTACAGTTTTGTGCGGACTGACAAGCGTGACAAAAATCGGTACGGCACAAATCACTAGCACGTAAAGGGTTGGGTCGACAGTGAGCGATGTAAGATCGGTTGAAAGTACGGTCACCTACACGCAGCACCCAATGTGTCGTTCCTATCTACTTAGTCGCCAGATTAGATTAGGTAGATAGGGGGACAAGTAGATAGATTAAATTGTTTAAGATAGGTTTTTAGTTGACGAACTCCTAGGTGATCGCACGCACACTTTCACCCAAATCGTTCCGTTTTATCAGTTGTTAATGCAGCTGCTTTGAAATTCGTGTGCGTTTTTGCAGTTTCCCGAAATTTGTATGCCTTCATCAAGTTCGATACTATCCAGTTATAATGGTCGGCCGCACGAAGCGACCACCGGGTGATCACTCAATCAAGTGTTACGGTGTGTGCTTTCTGCAAACGATTGCATTTTCTTTGGTATGCCTACCGAATCTCTTCATTGTTTTTCATCTCCTCTTAAGAGTGGATGAGTGGGCGGAATTAATGACTGTGCTTTCGGCCAGATAAACAATGGAACGAAAAAGGTTGTATATAGATTTGCTGATCTACTATTCCAAAATGCCTTTGAAGTTAATCAAATAAAAGTGCCAGCTATGAAATAGAGACAACCTTTCTAGCAAGCTGAACTTAAGCAACATTCTGGTAATAGCGAATAATA